CTTAATGTTTTTGGCGGCTTTAATGTAGGCGTCCGTTTAACGGGTGTTTCTCCGAGAACGAATTCATCGCTTCGCGCGTAATTAACGAGAGGAAGATGCGGTCAACGTTGCGAAATGTACTTTACACAATATGCCTGTTGCGCGCGTTTAATTAACCAAAGTACCAGTGAATTAAACCGGCGCCCGCGGTTTCTGTACCTATTAGCATCTCCGTAACCTATTTATTTCGCAAAAAGAAAGAGGCGCGCGATGCTGATACGTGATATGTGATATGAATAAAGAAAGGATTCTAACGATGTTTCTCGGTACATTCGCGGCACAGAAGTCCGTGATTCGCGAAGTAAGATAATTCTTCGGTGAGAACTGGGTAACGGTATTATGAAAAATCTAGCATAAGAAGAAAAAAAGAAGGAATTAAAGCATCTTCGTTCATATACGTTTTTCAATGAATATTCAACGTCCGCATCGCTCGTTATCCGCTGAAATGCTTAAGAATACGCGGCGCATTCCGAAATTGCTTCTATCGTAATGCCGTCTCGATCGAGTATTCACTTCAGAAAGATCCTCCGATATATCATAACATTAAGAATCCTCCCGTACGCTGAGCCTTTCAACTAAACTCTCGCGCGCGTCGGTTTATCGGAGCTCGAAGACACGGCGTCTCCCTTCAATGAAAATGATAAGCTGGCACCCGAGTATTAACCGGCTGCATCTTCCTGCCAGTTGAGAGTTGCAGGCCGATGCGTGCAACCGGCTTCAAGATAATCTGCCCCCTTCCCACTGGTACCTCGATCCTCTCCTCTTTATTTCCCTCACTCCTCGTCTCTCCCTCCTGTCGTCTCTCATTCTCTCTTTTTCTCTTTTGCACACTTCTGCCCTCGCAGTCGGCTGCGTATCCACTTTTACGCGGCTTTTACAGCATTAAGTCGCGGCTCGTTCTGGGCGGCGGAAGAGAGAAAAAGGTTCTTACGGCGACCATTCATTTCGCTGCTTTCGCGAGTGCGAGAATCACCGCGGTTTTGATATCGTCAGTGATAGGGGTGCGATCTCGGGACCGACGATAAGTGCGGCAAACTACTCGACTTTAATGATAAGCGGCTAAAACCCCAAGTATAGATATCTTCCTGTGCGACTAGAGTTCATCCTTTCCCCCTTCCCTCGAACCGACTGTTTTTTTATATTTTTACATTACTCACACGTACGTTACGTACGCGTTTACATCGCTACGTTACGATTAAACACTCGACATTGGATCACATGTTGTTTATATCGGTATTCGCATATGAGTTCGTTTATATACGTGAAGTACTCGCGCGAAATATTACGAACTATTTAGCACCGTGCGAAATATTAGCAACGGACACTGTTTGAAACACGATGTTGTCTTACGTAGCGGAAATAATAAGCGCTTGTTAAAGGCGCGAGTAGTCTGTACTTAAGCCTTGAGTCGTTAGTTCGACGCTTCGGACCGGCATATAAACAGATTTTCTCGCGAGACAGCCTTTATTATATATATTTACTATAAGTCACTATCGTTTCACACCGACTTGTTAATGTCTAATCGGAGAGTGCGAACGTTCGGCGGATAGGGAAATATCAGTGATCCGAGACTGATACACCGATATAATTGAGAAGATAATTTCGCGAGAGATAGCTCGGAAGGGAAAATTTTCAAAAAGATAATCGCGATAATTCGGAGGAAGGTGCACGTTTCCCCTTTTTGTTTCTACAGTTTCCGATAGAAACCCGTTGAAGAGAAGACATCGTGAGGAAATCGAGCAGGAGCGCGACATACGACACGTGCGGGCGAAGGAAATTACATACATACGGTGAAATGTCACGTTAAAAGTGAAAGTATTGGAATTGTTCGGGAGAGAACTCGAAGGTGAATCACAAAGCAAATGTTTATCAAGAAAAGACGCGTTCGGAAAGACGTGAGAAAAACTCGTGCTATTTAAATACCACCGATTATTCGTCTATTCCCAATGCGCCAGAAAGCTGACTCGGGGGTGCATGAAAATTTGGATGCAACAATACGAGATGAACTAACGATTTCGACGAAAGACGATAAAATTGGAACGCGCCCTCTTCGCCGGAAGTAACGACCCGGGGAAGACACCGTCGTCGTCGTCGTCTCTCTCTCTCTTATCGAATCGGACTTGCGGCAATTCATTAACATGTTCGATAACGTGTCGAAATGGGCGGCCGCTGGCAGCGGCGGCGGCTCGCGCTTGATCAAAGCTAAGAGCAGCCCGAACGTGTCGAAATCGTCGTCCTCACCTGTGAAAAAGCTGAGCCAATCGGCCGCCTCCCCGAGCAAACCGTCGCGTACCGCGAAGACACCGATAATCCCGAAGATATCAAGCAAGACGGGCACTAACGAGGCGGTTAATCCGGCCCGTCGCGGTCCCGCCAATTTGGATTCTCCCAAGACTCGACTTTTCTCGCCTTCGAAGCCGCGACGATCTCCGAGCGAGACCCGGCCGGATACGGCAAAAGCCGTCTCACCCACCGCGCGCAACAGCGACAAGAAAAAGGTCTGCAAGTCGGCCAGTTCGTCTCCCACTTGCACGATACTGGAGGATCGAGCGTTGCTGAAGAAGGGATTGATTTATACGCCCAACGATAAGATGCCGGCGAAGCCCGAGGCCCTGCGGGGGAAGGCCACCTTGGACCGTTCAGTGAGCCTGGGCTGCGTGTCTACGGACAACAACCACACCGTCCCCCGCGGGATTCCAATTTCCTGCGAGAGAAGATCGCTGGCGAATGAGAGAGACAGGAAGGCGGAATCATCCCGGCGAAGATTGACGCCCATGAACAGATCCACCAGCCTGTGGAGCGTACAGGCGCCGAAAGCGGATTGCAATCAATGTAAGAGGCCTTCCGGCACGTCCGCGAAGCTGAACTCGGTCTTCAGGCCGAGCAAGATACCGCTGCCGGCGGCACGATCCACCGGTCTCGGCCGATCTCTCGCTGATCTATCGCAAGTAGATCGCGTCGGAGAGTCGGTCCACCAAGTCATCAGTTTCGAGCTCGATCTCGACGGCGCGTCGAGCGAGCGTATCTACGAAAATTGCCGCGAGACTCTCGGTCGCGCCTCCAAGCTGGGCGGCAGCCCCGGCATTTCGGTGTCTACGAGCAACCTGGAGGAGAGAGCCGCGCGGCTGATGGCGCAGCTAGAGGACGACGACGACGAGACGATCGCGCCAATGGACGTTGTCGTAGATGTCGCTCTCCCGCGTAGAAATGAAACTGTCTACGAGGATCGAGAGACCTCTGATGACAAAGTCAAAAGCAATGTTATCGAGGAGAAAGGTGGCTCCGATAAGAACAGTCCGGACGAGAGATCAGTGAGGCGCGACGAGGAACCGAAGAAAGCGGCCGGCGCTTTCAGAGATAACACGAGGCCCGAGGAGGACACTTCGAAGAGAAGAGAGCCCGTCGCGCGGGAATACAAGTCGAGTCGAAGAGATTGGACCAGCAGAGAGCGGAAAAGCTGCGAGAAGCCTGAGGAAATCGCCGAGGAGCCGCGGAGGAATCTCAAGGAGAGCCCGAATATCCAAGAGCTGAGGCGCAATTGGGAAAGGCGAGGCGCCGCGGATCAGGACGTCGACGCGAAGGCGACGACGATTTATACCGGGAACTCCGGGAAGAAAAGCGTGAATCTATCGAAGACCGCTCGGAATGAGAGCGACGTGGTCGACGGCGCGCAAGACGCGAAGAGGAAGCAGTGCGTCGGCAAAAGGGCGAAAGACATCGAGCACTTGGTGAATTTCTTCAATTGCAAAAACGCCGAGGCTTCGAAGGAGACGGCCGCGCGCGATACTTGGATCAAGCCGAGATCGCCGGAGACGCCCGCCGCGTCTTTGAAGAAGAACGAGCCCAAGAACGGGCATGAGTACAGCGGTTACGCGTCGGACGGCAATTGCTCGGAGGACAGCGGGCATATGAGCAACGAGAACGAGGTGGAGTGGAAGGACACCGTGGACAATCAGAATCAGAGGGAGACGGTCGAGTTCAAAGGTACGCGGGAATACTACGACACGATCGAGCGAGCCGACGGCATGAAGATCTTCGACTCGACGATCGCCCGCAGACTGGCCGAGTCCGAGAAGCAGGCGAGCCCCGCGGTGTCCAGCGGTGCCAGCAGTATCGACAGTTGTCGGGACGACAGATGCCTGGAAATTGGACGACAGGTCCGTCCGAGCGATGATTACGCACAGTCTTACTAGCGGTCGTTGCTTTCGAACTAGCCGATACCGCGCTCGGTAATTAGGAGCCGGATAATTAGGTCGCGTCGCTCGCTCTGCGTGTCCGCATGCGATCCGCGCGGCGGAAAGAATCGAGATCCTCCACCACCGAGAGATCCGTAAAGCTTCGAACGTTCGAGCGACCTACGTGAATCATCCTATCAGTTAGTCGTCCGGCCATTTTCTCGTTCAAATTTCATCGACGCCTCCTAAACTCTTCTTCTTCATATAAATAATATCTCTATTGTTATCTGTATAGGTAATGAGAATCGTTAGCAACAACAACACACGGTAATTATCTGGCGATTAGTGAGAATATGTAATACATATAAAACTGAAAGTGACCATCTATCGGCGTGGTTATCGATGCCAAGTACATTCACCACACACGGTCTTATGTAAAAGCGTATCCTCTCTCTAATGCAATCGAGACGCCACGATGCGCGGCGCGTTTACGCTCCAGAAGGTATATGTGTACATCCTTCGTTTCCATAATCGCTGAAAGCGGCGATAAACTGTGTCATGCGTACTCCAGAATTTTCCATCTTGCCCCTGAACTCGGCATCGATCAGCATGGATTTTTCTCTCGTTCGCGCGTACACGGCTAATTCCCCTCGATGTAGGTCGTGTATCAATCGTGATCGGGGATATGAAATTAACAGCGGCGGTAAAATTTACGCCTCGGGTATCGATTAACGTGACATCTGCGAGAGAGAACTGACGCGAGGCCACCTCTCTTTTTGTTCGCAGATATTCTTCAGGTCGGGCACTTTGGAACGGTTGGAAGCTCAGAGGGACGAGAAGCTCACAGGTCACATTATTCTACTGCAGGCGAGATGCAGGGGCTACCTGGCGCGACGCAAGCTCAATACTCTGAAGGTAGATTGTTAGTTCCCCCCTCGGATCGAGAGACGTTTCTCCCGAATTAGAAAAGTGAATTCAAGAAGAAAGTTTTCACAATTAAGCGCGAGAAATCGCGAGGGAACACTCTCGCTCGTTTTTCCTAATTAAAGAATCGCAGTCGTTTGCCTTCGAGAACTACGACTCCGTTCGTAACTTAATAAGTCGAAATTTGCGAAGAATTATTCATGACGTGTTTATGGAAATTCTCGTTCTTTTACATCTGGGATCTGAGACGGAATATAAAAGCGATTAACGTCTTCGCGCTTAACTTGACACTTTCCTCGCTAGAGCGACACGGTGTAAATAAAATATAGCGATAATTTACGTAGCGGATCTCTCGTATTGTGAGCTGAATTTCTTTGCAGCTGCAAGATCTCGCTGTGAGATGCATCCAAAGAAACGTGAGGAAGTTAATGTCCGTGCGGGAATGGCCTTGGTGGAGATTGTACGTGAAAGTCGCGCCCTTGCTGAACGTTCATCGGACCGAGGATCAGCTGAAGGCGCGAACGGTGAGAAAAAAACAGGAAAACGATTTCTCTCTACCGTGAGGTTTATCCGCTATCATTGTTGTCTAAAATCGCAACGTCTTTGCATTTCAATAGGAAGAGCTCGAGCTGCTCAGGGCGAAAGTGGAACGTTTGGAGCAGGAACGTAACCACTTGAAGCACGACAACGACAAGCTGGAGGCGAAGGTAAAAAAACTCAACGAGCGTCGAAAGCTTCATAATTACCGTGCGCCTTAATTAACGACGAGTCATCTGTCTACTTTTTACCTACGATTGGCGCAACGTTTCCTTTCTTCCGCGACTGATAAGCGCATTCTTCACGATCGTTGCCACGGTCAGATCGTGCTGCTATGTAGTTTCTCTGCCTGATCTGAACGCGATATGATTCTGCGTCCGACCACACGATCAATCTAATAGAGGCACTCACGAAGGATGTATCAAGTCCGAACCGCCCGTTTAGGCATTTGCGGCACGCACGTCGCGCAATTGGGTTAAGCATGCCAGACGACGCGTGTCGAGCATGTGCAACTATTATCGTGACTCGACCGGCGGACCGCACATTGAACTTCCACTAACTCTGATCCGCCCGCTGATACACAAAAATCCCGACAACCCACGCGAACCTCGCGCCAAAGACGGCCATTCAAAAACCACCTTTCCTTCCTGCACTTTTTTCTACGTCTCCTTCTACGCGTTTCCTCAGCAAATTATAATTAACTGAAACTACCACTTACCAGTGATACCAGTAATTGCTGGTTTACCAATCACTCGAGTAACGGTAACTAATCGAATGAATATCGCGCGACAAATTTTTCCAATACTCCCGACGTTCGAATCTCTTTCCTCAAGCCCCGGCGCTGAGTTCCGTTCATTCTTAATCGCGAAATGAAGTTCTCTCTCTCTCTCTCTCTCTGTCTATTCTATTTTTATAAATACCGAGGCAATCCATAGGTTTCCTGCCGAGGTGCTAATGCTATATCGCCCTTCTCCCTCCTTCTCTCTTCCGATACTTTTCTCACGAAATCCACGGAGAGCCTGGCGGATAGCCAGAATCGCCGTCTCGTATACATCTCCCCACCTTTATCGCCCCCGTGGCTCTTCTCTTTCTCGCCGTCTTTCCCTTAGAATAACTCGGAGGTGACCGCCTCCTCCGCCGGACGCCTCTGGCCGCGATCGGCCGACCCAGGAAGAGGCATAGGCAGTTGCACCGCGACTCCTTGCCGATACGGACGCCGTTGTTATCGTTCGGCGTTACGCAACTCACCGAATGCAACGAGTCTCCGACATGGACACCGGCCGTTGAATCCGACACAGAGCCACGAGAGAGCCACGAGAGAGGAAACCAGTTCAAAATGTTACTTGCGACAATTTTACCATCGGAAATCCGTTCGGTCATCCGCCGCATGGATCGGAACGGTGCTATTCTGAACGTCGGACGAGCTTAAACGCCAAGCCTAACCGTCGTCGGCTAAATACCTTCTTAAAGTTACCTTCGATACCAGCGGCTTAACGTAGATCAAGATGCCGTCCTTGCCGATGATGTACCCGCGCGCTCTGACTCCTTCTTACGACAATCGGTATCTACACGCACTGGGAAACGCGAGTTCGGCCGGCACGATCGAGAGGAACGACTCGTTGAGCAGCCTGAGCAACGGCTTATCGAGCTCACCGAGTTCCATGATGGCCTTGGCGAGGAGGCCACCCTTGCCGCCGTGCAATCAACACAAGAGACCACCTAGCAGGGGGCGCATAATCGGCAATTCCGCCATTCGAAGCCCCTCGCCTTGCAGTGTCTCCTCCTCCAGCGTTTCGTATCGCGCCAAATCGCCATCCGTCGCGTCCTCGCGAAGTCGCTCCCAGCTAGGATCACCGACCTTCTCGACTCCGCCGCGAAGAACGTATCCGCGCGAGAGCATGTGCTCACCGGCAGAGGAGGTCTTGGTCAAGGAACAGGCCCCGGTCGTGTTCGACGCAAGTCTCAACTTCGTCCTGGGCTGCGAGCGGCAGAGAGTGAAGCAATCATTCAGACCCACCGCCTCTCACCTCGAGCCGTCCACCGCCTCGTCGTATCTCTCCTCGAAGATCTCGCAGTTCTTGAAACGCACCGATCACATTATGGACGAATGGCGTAGCCTCGGCCACAAGGACGAGGTGGAGAACGAGCCGGCGAGTTTGCCGCATAACCGTGACAAGCCTCGCATTACGATCGGAAGGAGTCAGAGCGCCACGAATATTATGATACGCGGCTTCCAATATTATAGCAGGTCGAGCAGCGTAGGGAAGAGCCCCTCGAGGCGCTCCTTATCTCGCACCTCGGAGGATGGCACTCTATCGGAGGGAATACAGGAGGTAACACGACGGAAGGGGGGAGGCGTAAAACACGCTTGAAGACGGCTTGCAATTTGAAAGATAATTTTAAAAATTAATTCAAACTATCCTTTAAATTAATTAAAAAAAAGAAAGAAAAACTTAAAAACAATGTAAAAAAGTCCAAGTTCCGCGCGCGAGAGTCTGATAAACATCTAAACGTATAAGTGATAAGAAATCCCTGTACGCACGCTATATTATTACAATGGAAGAAAAAATATTTGAAGAATAAAGAATTATTATTTAAATATTTATTCGGTGGGTATTAGTGGTATATTTGTTAGAAACAAAATACATATTTATACATTGAGAAAAGGTGTTTTTAATGAGAAAATATATACTCTTAAATATTTCGCTTTTCATGAGAGCAATTATTTATTCTATATATTTAAATGAAAGAATATAAATGTAGGTAAATATGTTATCAATATCCACTGAATAAATATTTTGTATTTTTTAGATATTTTTTCTTCCAGTTTGAAGTTCCGGACAATATTTCGTTAATGCTGACTATATCCTACAAACAACATTTATAACCTAGAACAAAACTTCAACGTCCTTCAGCACTCAAAGTCCTTCAAACGTTAAATACGATACTAGCCTTACAAGTCCATAATGATGCAACTCAACATTTTACTCCAACTTTGGACACGTTTGATATTCAAAGGCGACGAACAGAAATTATAAGGCATGAAGTAATAATGATCCGTAGTTCGCGTGACGTATCATATTTTGTTGCTTTACGTAAGATCTGCTTTTCCCGTGTTCAAGCTGAGCGAGATGACCGCAGACTTCGCGGAGGAGCATTCAACGTCGACGCTAGCGGCGGAGAGGATCGACGCCGAGACATCGGAGCGTTTGCGACTCGAGCGGGAATTACAGGATGTGACCGAGGCTAACAAGAATCTCCAGCAGACGACGGAACGGCTGGAAATGGAGCTGCTGTATGCGAGGGCTGCCGATTTGAACGGGGTCGCCTCCGACGGCGAGGAGGGCGAGGATGGCGGGGTCTACAGGCAACGATACGAGCACGCTATCCGCGAGCTCGAATTCACCAAGAGGAAAATGGCGCAACAGCACGAAGACGATCTCGAGCAGCTCGTCGGTCTGAAGAAACAGTTAGAAAAGAAGGTAAGCCTAGCCAAGGTTTCAACGAGGCTCGAGCGAGGCGCCGGGCGTCATGTTCTCACAAATATTTCCCGAACAGTTGGCTGATGCTTACGAAGAGGTGGAGGAGCAACGACAAGTCGTCGGGCAATGGAAGCGACGGGTGCAGAAGTTGAACGGCGAGATGCACGATCTCAGATTGCTGTTGGAAGAACAGACAGCCAGGAACAATCTGCTCGAGAAGAAGCAGCGCAAGTGAGCCGCGTCTAAATTCTCGTAACGGACCAGCTCGACGGATTTACAAGGCTGCGTGCAAATTGTGCACTTTGTCGCGCATTGAAATACACTGTGTGCTCCGCACGTTTAATCTATAGTTAATGATCTGCAAGTCGGTATCGGGTGGTAGCTCGCTCTATTCTCATTTCACTCTCGGCAACAAGTGTTTCTGGCACCTCGCCAGGCCAGTAACGCCATCCGCGCTACAGTGCCAGCGTTCGGCGCGTCCGGTGTGTCTGTAAATCACGATTGACCGTTCGCAAAGATAGCTCCCTATTAATCTAAAAGCAGCAGCGCGCCGCCGGTTAAAGCCGATCTCAAGCGGCAAACTTGCACCCGCTTCCGAAATCCTGTCAGTTCTCTCCCCTTCTCTCTGGTATACATTCGATACATTCGCTGTATTTTTTTATGTATCGTTCCGTAACGTCTCACACATGGGAGTTCAACGATTCTAGGATAACTGTCATAAATCATTATTTCTCTACATGAAAGTATGAGATTAGACGGTGCGCTATAATAATTTGCACCTTTTATCGGATGCTTATTTGTATATATAATTATCGTCTCACTGTGAGAGAAAGTAATCCCCTCAATAATTGCGTTCAGGTTCGACTCGGAGACTCAGAATCTGATGAACGACCTCAGACAAGAGAAAGCGCAGCGCGAAAGATTAGCGAGGGAAAAGGAGATTGCGATCGCGGAAAAATTCACAGTGGAGCAGAACCTGAGCGTGAGTACATTTTTCTTTTCTTCCGCTCCCGATATCCATTGTTCTCCCGTTTTCCCGGGATTTTCTTGCGGAAATTCCGAATTCAAGATCGATCCGCGTCGTTCGTTTGATGGCAGGACGCGCGATTGGAGATCGAGCTGAAAGAAGAGAGACTTCGCACGTTGACCCAGGAACTGGAGGAGCTCACCTTCGGCGGCAAAACTGAGGAGGAAGTCGCGCAGCTGAAGAAAGCGAAACACGAATTGGAAAAGCGCGCGAAGGACCAGGAGGAGGAGTTGGACGATCTCGCGGGTCAGGTGCAGTTGCTCGAACAGGCGAAGCTCAGATTGGAAATGAGTATCGAGCAACAGCGCAAGGAGATGCGCAAAGAGATGCAGCAACGCGACGAAGAGTTGGAGGATGTTCGCGGGAACGCGCACAAGAAGGTCAAAGCTCTCGAGTCACAGTTGGAGAACGAGCACGAGGAGAGGACGATTCTCCTCAGGGAAAAACACGAATTGGAGCGCCGTTTGGTGTCTATAGAGGAGCAAGACCGAGCTGATCGCGCGGCGGAGGCGGAAACTATGCAGAGGTGAGAAACATTTCCAAATTCTTAAATTGTTCCTTCCCAAAATCGTGATTGCAGCGTGGTCTGTAGTACATATAACATGAAATGGTTATAATCAACCTCAAGATCTATTAATTACAATTGTAATCGCACAGACTGAAGAGAGACTTGAAGAGAACAAAGGCGTTGCTCAGGGACGCGCAAACGATGCTCGAGAGGTCCAAGGGCGATTCAACGGGCAAAGCTGCGTTGCGTCAATTGAAAAATCAATTAGAAGACGCGGAATGCGCTCGTGCAGCAGCGATCAAAGCGAAACAGGCGTTGGAGCAAGAATTAAACGAGACACAAGCGAGTCTCGAGGAAGCCATGCGACAGCGCTCCGAGGCGGAGGAGCGGGCTAATGTAGCTAATCGTGAACGCACGGAACTATTATCCCAATTGGAGGAAAACGAGGAAGAACTTGCCGAGGTACGATATTTCTTTTACGATATTTTCCTTCTATCTTTCTATAGCTGTTCTTATATACAAATATATATATATATATATTTAAAGAAAATGTTAGACAATTAAAATATTATTGTTACACCTATGCTCATATAAAAAGCATATATTTATTAAATATAAAATATTATATAATACATATAATATTATTTTATCTTTAATCATAAGAAACTAATATGCATCGATTATTTATGCTCACTTTGACCTCAATTAACCGCTTAGTCAACCCTTAAAGTTCATTCTTACTGATTTCGAAGACATAAAATATATAACATAGCTTCCGCGATATTTCAACGTTCTTTTAAGTGGAAGTTAAGTTCAGGAGTTAAATATGAATTGTTTTTTTTTTTACGACCGAAGGTCTTGAAGAAGTATCGAGCGGCGGTGCAACAAGTTTCCGCGGAGCAAGGCCAATTGCAAGAGGCACAGGTGCAAATCGCCGCGCTCGAAGCGGAGAAGTCGTCACTGAAAGACCAACTGGCGGAACTAACGCAGCGATTAGAATCGGTGGAGCAACTTGGCGATCCTACGGCGAACAGTCTCGCCACGAGACGCTTGGAGTTCCGTGCTAAGGAACTCGAGAGCAAACTCGAATTGGAGCAAACTACAAGAGCGCGTCTGGAGGTATCGTTGAAGAAAAACGATTTATAAATGCAGTTTATCGCATTAATCCCGTCGAAAAAGCACAAGTCTCAAAAAACGGTGCATTTCGCGGAGCCTAACTATTCGTCCCGCTTTGATTTATTCGCAGACACAAATAGCACGGTTGAAGGAGAGCGTCGACAAGTTGCAGACCGAGTCGGCCTTGCTCAGAACGAAAGAGCAGACCGCCCAGGACGCGGCGAGACGACTGCAACGATCATTGCGCGACACGCGGGACGAAGCTAGCGCGGCGATTTCACGCGAACAAGAAGCTCTGCGTGCTCGTCGCGACATAGAGAAATCCTTAGAGGCCGCGGAAGCCGAAACCAAGGTGGCCAGAGACGATCTCAGACTGGCGCTGCAAAGGATCGATGATTTGCAGAGCGCTATTCAGGGAGAACTCGATTTGGATTGCAGCGAGGAAGCCACCAGCGAAAATAGTGACAGGTAAAACAATATGATATATAAATAATTCTATCACACACACACACACACAAATGTAACCAATATTTCGAAACTCGTGTCTGCTCGTTGACACTAAAGAATTATCGCTTCCATTTGATTCAGTTACGAGTGAAATTTTTTCCTTTTAATAGTGATTGATCCGAGCCCTCATCGGACTTGGAGTCCGATCAAAACGATCAAAACGATCAAGACGTGACTGAACCAGAATCGATGAGGCAGATCGCAGATGGACTTCCATGCAACGAGGCGTCGAACAGAACGTAAATACTATATCGGGCCGTTTAATGTTTGAGCGAAAGTGACGAACAAGGATTATCAGTCCGGAGAGACGAAAGACTGGCGAGAACAAGGGCGGTGTTAGCCCGCTATCGTTACGGTGGTTAGAAGATCACAATAGATTTTACATTTTGTGCTAATTGAACGATGCTACCTAAAGGAGGCGCGCAGTCTCCTTTTATCGCTGTAGAGAATTAAATCGATGCGAAGGGGAATCAAACTGCCTCTAGCGCGGAGGCTAGTCGAACGTAATCAAACTTACAATGTAATGTTCGAACAGCGGGTTAAGCTAAGAGATCGCTAAGCTAATCGACCATGACCCCCCTCCCTCTGCGCGAAGGCGAGCGATGATAAACTTTTGTAGGTGCTAACTATGTATAATTCCCAGGAAATCTCGATGTCGTGGCGGATTTGTATGCCGCACTTGATCGCGCGTCCGACACTATTTTGTCTAATTTTATCTTTCTTGTGTTTCCTTTTTTTTTTTTTTTTAATGTATCGGTGACAACGACGTCGTCCTTCTCCAGTCTTCCAGAGAAATTCGAGCCATTTCATACACGAACACAAATATTGATGGGAACTGTGCGTTGGCTGGTGAACAAAAGTTGGAATGCGTCCGATAACGATGACGAGATATATTTTTAATAAAAATAAATAAAATTTCTTACTTTTTCCAGCAGAGAAACATATAATAGTTATAGAGGCGAGAATGAGTTGCAAAAAGGGTGAATTGAAAATGTTATATTTGATGAATTTTAAATTTTACATTTCAACGTCGAAAAACATTAATGAGATACTTCGATTCACGCGCGATATATCCGTACTTTTGTTCGACAGCTTGAATAAACGCGCATATATTTTCTCACGAGAAAGTAGATCCGCGACTGGACATCTTCTTCTGTAGGAAGGAATACACACACACCGTGCTTCTTGTCCTTGCAATTCACTGCCTTCGGCTCAATTATGTTTTACGTTCGTATGAAAGGAAGGAGAGTAAAAGGGAAAAGCACACACATGACAGGAGAACAAGAAATGCGTGCCACGACTCGAATTGGGGGCTTTGGTTTCGTGTAAGGACTCTCGTGTAACTTATTGCTTTGTAAAATGCAGATCTCCTATTTAATTACTCGGGAGTGTTTCATCAACCGTACCTTTATGCGCCTCTCCTATTCCCCCCGCCGTTTAATCGGCAAAGCGACCGGCAAAAAAGTCGTCGAAGTAGCCGAAAGAGATACGAAATACCGATGAAAAATAGTCCGGCGCTCCGCACGAGTTGGTTATCAAATTAACCATCACACGTAAACCAACTCGCGTACACACACCTAGTCTAGTCCTCCTTCGATCTTCTTTGAACCGGCAGACATTGATTTCCCGCGGGATGACCCTTCTCACAAGTTCCGAACTAAAGTTAAGCACTTTTCCTTCTGCTGGCCGCGCTCCGGATCCTCCTGGCTCCCCTCGCTCTCTTCTACCGTTACTTCCACAGCAAGACGTTATACGAATGAAGCGAAAGACAGCAATTAAATTGCGGCTGAGTTGCCGTCTATTCCACGACAACGGTGACGGTGAGAACGAGAGAGGGATGCGCATTTCGACTACGAAGATCCTCTCTTCGTGAGGTAAGTCTTTCACATTTATGAAGTCGTAACGATTGACATAATTCCCGACATTACATCACGAAATGGGTCTCTCGAAATATTAACGAGCTTAGCGTTATTCTCTCACACGCATGCAATGCAATAAGACGCGTCATATTTCTCGTTTCGTTACGGTGTACGACGACGAAACGCACGAACAAGATGTAATTTCATCTATTTATGTAAATTGAGCGGCTCGCATGTAGTGTTCGTTGACTGCGCATAATTTTTTCACTCTCCTTTCCCTGACCAGTATTCATTGTCAGAATCAGCGAATAGTGGCTTTAATACTCGACCTAGTAATACGCATACACGTACATATATATACATGTCGAGGTAGTAAAATTCCAGCTACGACATGGTTCCTCATTAGAGACTATGTTATATGCACGAATTCCATTTGCACCTAACTACATATAAATTACTTCTCTACACGAGGCTAATGTATGTACGCGTATGTGTGTGTGTGTGTGTGCTCGAAAAAGAGAGAGAGAGGGAAAAGGCCGCGTAATCGCCGCTATTAGTGAGTCCAGGAAGAATGTGGAGGCGAAGTTAGCGCGGCCGGCGCTCGTTAAGAAGAAAATGCGGAAAAAGTGAGAATAGTCGCGGCACGTCGCTGCCGAGTCATTTCTGGGATCACCTCGACAACGATTACGAGACATATATACATTTTACCGTATGCATATACGCGACTTATGGCGTCGACGAAGTCGGAAGAACAGATATTGATTTAAACGATTCGCCTTATTGAACGGTATATGCACACGGCGTCGTTACTTGCTCGTTCGTTTAATAAAGAACTGCCGCTTATCGTTCTAAAAATAAGCGATAAAAGTCAAAACTATTACAAACAACACACGCGTCGCTTTTAAAACTCTTCGTGTCATTCGAGGAAAGAGACTGTTGGAATAAAAAAAAAGAATGAAAACAATTCTAAGCGAAATTGGACCAATTTCGGTTTCGAACGACAAGCAGTGTCCGGAATTAAATGCAGGCCGATTAATTTAGCGCTTATTAATTTACCGTTAAATGAGTTACAATCGATTTGCGTCTATTCACCCGTTAATTCGCATCATAATCGTTGATTACCTGCTAATTCACTAGCTATATGAAACAAGAGTCACGCGAGCTCATGCGGCTTAACGTCATGATATTTCGCCGGCTTAGTTTAGAGAATATCAATTTTGCGAGTAAATCGCTCATTTGTACTGTCATTATCGGGAAGGCTTACGACAAAGCCAATAAGCTTGACAGTGCCGAACAGTCTTGCCCAATTAAAATTTCATATTTCTTCGATCCCGTAAAGACCACTATGCAATTCTGATCAAAAGATACGTTAATTGTTCTTTTACTTGTTAGACACTCAATATTAGCGTATTAACTGGAACAATATTATTGCGTGTTTCTGTGTGCGTTGTGAAAATAAACAACGAACTCAAGCAGATTCTACTTCATCCGGAAATTCTTTCTGCAAGTGAGAAAATATTTGCATTTTTAGATGTGCATTCCTAAATGAATGAAACTTCGCACGAGGCCGTTAAAGAAAAGCGCCAACATACCATGATTTTTATGAGAAACCAAAAGTGTTTTCGATGAAAGCTTCACGTGCCAGTAACTTTACATACAGTCTCATTAACGATTCATTCTGAAAAATGTATTGATGTGACTCTTTACGAGTAATAAAATATCCACATGTGTGCCAATTCACGTGCACTTTCGGGTGATTAAAGTATAAATTTTGATATAATAAAAATTTATGTATAGCTCCAACAAGGGCTAGGCTCTTATTAATTATTGCTGAGCAATTTGCGAAAATTTACAATACGTGCATAATGAAGAATATTTAACTCCGCCGCGCGACTCTGTCGGAAGAATTAATTCGCTCACCCTCTCTCTCTCTCTCGTCTGATCTTTGCACTCTCGGAAGTCCGTTGCAAATTTTAACAAATAAAGCAGCATCCACGTTGTGGCACTTATGAATAGCAACTCAGGAAATTTCTTTCTTTCATTTTACTGTCGCGAATAAATTAAATATTCTTTTGAAAGAATGCATGACTTTACAATATTCAATAGCGGAATATACTCGTAAGTAATTTAACGAGAGACTTCTTTTTTACAAGTGAAACAGTTATGATTCATGTGATACAAAGTCGATATGGATAGGGAATTACTGCGAAACGTGTCTTATATACGGCAAGCGTATTACATACGTGTTACATGGCGCCTCATGAATTTTTCATGGCGAACATGTAACCGTCCAGGCTCGTGAAACGTTCAAAGTCATTGCTCTTGTCGGGAGATCAATAAGAGGGTGAAAAATCGCACGTCTCGTCAGCGCGCCGCGTTCGAAAAGATTAATGTCTTACATAATCCCGCATCGGCGCTGATTTATTCCGCATAATACGACTCGTGTACTACTCGTTACGGCGGCACAGTGCTGCAGAATCGAACATGAGGAGCGCTCATCCCCACTGAAACCTGACCGAGGCAAATTCGTATCAACGTAAATTTAATCAAACCGGCTTCCGTGCACTTACCCAAGAGGAAGCGTGAAAATCTTATCGGCAAAATTTTCCCTTACATCCAGAGAATCTATCGCGCCCTTGATAGAATCTTATTGTAAAAATTAATTATAATCACTAATATAAATCTCTCTGATAAAAATATGTTTTTTTTTGTTATATTTTCTATTCTATTCCTTGGTTTGGAGAAAAAGAGGAAAATTTAATAACTATATTTTGAAATGCGTAAATGAATATCGTTGTAACTAAGAGGGAAAAATGGAAAGAGGCACACACGACTGAAATGCCGATATTTCATTGATTCGTTATACAAAGGAATGCTTCGAATGTCACTGTATATCTCAACATAGTGCTTTATACATCCGATACGCGCAGCACCACCGTACAAAGTTACAATACGCGAACTGTAGGAGAAAAAGAGTAGAAAAACATATGTTTCCGTAGGTTACATAAATTTTTCTCCAACATGTGGAACAAATAATCATTCGATCTTTTATAGGACAATTTGAGAGAACGAATGCATCTTTTTCAATACATGAGTATGTATTAAATTTGCAACCGGATAAACTATTTGGCAAATATAAATAGTATGCGCATCGTTTCATTTTGGACACTTTCATGTAAATCGCAGATATACGAAAGAATATTCGAATATTTTTCGAACCGCGTACAGAAGATGTATACACCTCTTAAAACAATGCATTACCGAACGAATAACAACGCTGCCATTCGGTCACCAAAATAAAAATGTGAAATAATGACTGCTTCTTGGCAAAAAGGTAACATAAAGTGACACTTTTTGTCGAATTCCGAGAGTAACTAAGATCAGCTGAGCAAAAAATGTGGCACTTACTTTTACCTTCCTAGTTTTATCTTTGGATAATTTAACATATAGCGATATAGTTCTTTTCACAATATAGTTTGGAAGTTTATAACAAGAAAAGATCAAAGATATAAATAATACAGTACAAAATACGCTTTCAAAGCAGTTTTATTAAGAGAGGCCGCGAAAATATATGTAGAATATCCATATTTTATAAATTTAACAACAGCTCAGAATTAGAATGACCTATTTTAGACGACACCGAATTTTCTGATGACTTGTCAAAAAAGTGACAAAAGATAACTTAAGTGACTGGACGGCAGTGTTGGAATAATTCCGTCGCGAATATTCCCACGCTCGCATAAAATTATATTTCGGCTTGCGCCGAATGCAAAAATAAGCAGCTGAAATGTAAACGTGCTTACTGTATAATAGAATAGATACCAGGTACGGATGTGTAGCGTAATTTCAAGTGAGCGATACAGTCGCATTTGAAAAAGCACTCTCCCAATTATATCGAGCAATGTAAAGTCTCGTTATGTCTCCTCGAGTGCACAAGTCGCCGTCTTTGGTAATATACGTAACGTGAGGTAACGAAGGCGTATAACATTAACAAGCGGACGGACAAATAAACGCGTCCTTTTTACCCGGGCGTAGGAAAAAGTCAAAAGGTACGAGAACGAGGTCGATATTTCGCCGAGCTCGTTCCGCTGAGCAAATGGCGTGCGCGCCGCTTTAAATTTTAATCACGCCGAGCGGCGGTGCTCTGCACTCGCGTACTTATAAAGGTGACATAATGAGCGCGCGTACGGCCTCGGGCCGGCGACGCCGATTAACCGAGGATTACTTTAATTAACTTTACGTTCGCGGGATAACGACGCGTAGCCAGCACGGCTGCTTGAGCGAACGGGTGGGCGAACGAGCGAGCGAATTCGCGCGACTCCTCGCGCCTCGTCGACGCAAAACACGCCCGCGTCAAGTCGTCAAGATCGAAGAGCCACGAGGAGCCTAGCACAACCGGTTGTTGAACAGAAACAGTTGAGACAATGACAATTTATGTGATTACGCGAGGCACAGAGTGAAGCAATTTGTCACGAAATGCATTAAGTCGACGCCATTATTTTGTTCGAGGGAACGGAACGGATTGGAATAGATTTGTTTAGGTTTCGTGGACGAACTGCTTCGAGACTGATAAGCAATTCCGATACCCCGCTGTTCAGAGATAATGAGAAAAAATGAAGCCGATAACGACGGATATAATACCAAGAATGTACCAATTTCGGTGATCGATTCTCCGATTTTTGGACTCGACCTAGAAACATTTTCGACCATACCGTCGAAAACCGTCGGTTGCAGGATTCAGGTTATGTTCACGTGCTTATCGTATGCTTCGACAGACGTAAACAGGACCAGGATAAGAATGCGGGTCGTAAGTGTTTGTATATCGCTGGAAAAATTCTACTTATGACACGATTTATCTTATCTTTCTAACGGCAATTTGAGAAATCTTCTTACACGCACGAACATCTTACGGTAATCAGTAGTAAGATAAGGAACGACTTTCGCAGTAATTAGGAAAATGACATTCATAGATAACTAATGCGTACCCAAAGAGAGACGGGGAGAGAGAGAGAGAGAGAGAGAAAGAGATGGTGCTGCGCGAGTAATCAAATGACATTCGTCTCGTGATGTGACAAGCGTAAAATGCACTTGTTAAAATGCGACGGTGACGATAAAAAGTTACTAAGAGCTTACATTGACGCGTAGCTGACACTCTGTTTGATACTACCGCGTCGTGCGAATCTATTTATTAGAGCAATTTGGAACATCCGTGGCATCCGTATCAATTTGGATCGTTGCTGTTATGTCCGTCACCATTTTTGACTTCAACACAAACACATTCCGTTTATAGATGTAAACTTCTATCGCGTTGGAATTACCATCCTATTTGCCAATCAAACCGAAGCTTGCATAGGAATTAATTATGGAATATGCGTGACATGATGGTAGTAGCTCGTTAATAATATATCAGGCATGGTCTGTCGTCAGTACTCTTATGATTAATTGACACACACATACACACACGTTAAGTAATTCGGGATCTTAGCAGTTAGAACACGGAGTGAACTGCAACGAGATGGCACTCGCATCTAGTTGGGATTTCCGCCGAGTCAGTTTTCTCATGTGCAAGAGAATGTTTATTAGCTCGAAATGTCCAAATTGCTTGATCCAGCGATTAATTACTAGAATATATATCGCCACGTGCATATTGTATTAAAGTCAGACATTTTTCCGGCTGCGTATTTCACGGAACGAGTTCAGAGCGTTAAATACGGAGAAGTGGCGGCTGACATTGCGAAAGATCTGCTCTTGATAGTTATGCAACCTTGATTATCAACCAGATATGCAATTTAAATCTATGCACGTCAATCCGCCGCCTGATTGTAACGGCACAGTCGGAGATTAGTTTACTTATGCGTCGTGGCGAAAGAGGGTACTGTAAATTGTCAGAAACTAACGCAAAGGCGCAGCCTTGAAACGTTGAATTATTCTGGAGATCGCGTATATTCCAGGGGAACCCAAACGATTCGCTCTGAAACGCAATCAGCTTAACTCCGAAACGCAATAAATCCCTTTGACGCATCGTGCTTGTTGTTGTTGCCCGTTATTGTATCCGCCGAAAGCGCCACGATTAAGACCCCATTTGATCAATCGCCTTTCCCCCCCACCCCCCGAAGTCGAAGTGAATAGATTGACGCAAAAAATATGTTCTTCGTGTTATTCCTGTTAATGAGAGTAATATTTATTCTCGTTTGCAGGAAGTAAACATACACGTGTAAGTTTCATCCCTACTTCTCTTCCTTTTGATAAGCAAAAGAAATTAACACAAAAGAACGTATCACGCGCCTTACGCGCGGAAAGAAAGCTGCGGGAATTATAATAAATAAAATGTCTGTACGTCCTTCAATTACAATAACGAATTTTTCCCCATAAAAGTGAGAATATCTGTTTCCGTCAATTTTTGTGGAAAATTCTAACGTGACTCGAACTGAGCCGAATAAATCATTCGCCCGACGGACAGACACGCGGAGTGACGATCTTCGCGCGTGTTTTTCTCCCCCTCTCTTCTCAACTCCGCGCTTCGACACGATGGATTCAAGCGCAAGCCTGCTCGTCCTCCATGGGGACCGGATCGAACAGTTCAATTTGAGGCGCCACACTCCTCTCCGGCGACAATTAACAACTATATTGCCTGCCGTCGCAGTTTGTTTGAGAACGCACAGATCACAGGCGCGTGCGGCAAGATAAGCCGTGACGCGCGTCTCTCGGTGAACCCGAGAGTATATGATGAGGGGAATATGTGCGCCCACCACGCTGAGATAGTGATGTACATGCGGGCGATAAGGGGACAAAACAGATATACTAGGATGTCTGGACAAAATCGCACCACCATGAGAGGAGGACCGACCGCCTGTTGCTCGTCATCAGTCTGTGAAAGAAGGCGCGAATTCGCGAGGAAAGAAAAAGAGAGAGAGAGAGAGAGGGAGATCCTCGGGCCACAGTTATTGTCATTGCTAAGTGTAGCGGTGGTGGCGTGCGACCCGTAATGTGTACCGGCTTGCAATTAACGACAATCGGATTAAGGCCAATTGGGCACGAGAGCGGTAGTGGGTTGTCGCATGCACCGTCGCGGCTGGACCCGATTACGAAGTAACGGATAAATAGATCTATCTAGATCGGCCGGTCGCCTCGATAAGACGCGGCGCTCCGATACCCGCGCGGCACAAATTCGAATTCACCGATTAAAGCAGTGTTTACGAGCGACGGGCAACCGTTGGGCACATAACGGCACATCGAGGAAAGCCGCTGCGAGGAAGCGAGTTACACAGCTGGTAGTCGTTCGATCGCAACCTTCGCGAAAGCCGAACTAATCGGCGGATGCGCGCGCGGCCCGTCGGACGGACACGGAGAAAACGACGGGATAAAAAAAACCGGCAGAGATTTATTCGCCTTTTGGAATACCGGAAGTAGTAGTATATGCGCGGGGACGTATAAACCGGCGGTAAAAATCGTAAACCCGGATCGGCTATTTCTTCAATGGGCGGAGAAACTGGAAGATCGATGTCACATGTATCTCTCTTGTGAGATAGTATTATTGTGAAGTGTTATTGTCATCAAGAAATTATCCCCTTTCCGACTCTCTCGTATGTCGTCGTGGGTACGATTTGCAAAACTAGAGGAAAATCGTTGAAGAATCTCGGTGTATTATCATTGTCGATGTGTTGAAACCGAAGTGGAGAACTATCGACAAATTGGGCGGACTGTTAATCGTTACATTGACCGTCGACAGTCAGAAATCGTGTTTACTGTGAAAAGCTATCGTCGATCTCCGGGGAAACTCAGTGACTACCAGCCGCGAAAAGGAGCCGCGGTGGTTTATCACATTTTGCCCTGCGCACTTGCCAACCAAAGGCTATCAATAGCTTGAAATTAAGGGCATTCAATCGCGAAAACTACTTGTTGGATTCGTCGCTGAGAAAGCCCAAGCTGCAGAATCGCCAGAAGAAATAGGGCGGCAGTTCCATTCTCGTTTCACATGGCTGCAACCACGAACGTAAGTGACACAGTTTCGTTTGCATTGCAGTTGCAATACGCTGCTCCAATTTCCCTCGTCACCGCATAAACAGACGAAACCGAAGTGCCGCAATCGCGAAGCGTGTAATTAATCTGGTATTTAGATAATGAACAATTGACGCATTCGTTATTTGTTACGTAGAGCTATTCCGTGCAGATCGAGTCGGTGTGTGATTTTTGATAAGTGGATTAAAATAAGACAGTCGATCTGCTGATAGAAACTATTTATTATATTTTATGTAATTTCATTAAACTCTAGTCTATGCATCTAATTGTGTATATAAAACCTTTATTATATATTTTATCACATCTTTTATCATATTTTATTTAGCAATGTTATCATAATTTTATCATACTATTCGTCCGTTAACTATTAGATATTGGACTTTCAGCGATGTGGAATGACTTATCTGAAAGAGATATCGTGAAAGATTATTATAATCATATTTCGAGTTGTCATCATATTTTTATCATACTACTCGTTCGTTATTCATATGAAATGGTTTATCCTAGAGACATATCATAATAAATTTAAGTATGATTATGATAATTGACAACTCTGTTATTATACTTTTGTCATATTATTTGTTCGTTATCTATTAGGTATCGGGCTTTCAATCATGCATGGAATAATTTCTCCCAGAAAAAATCACATAACAAATTATCATATTCGTATTTAAAATTGTCATCATACTTTTATCGTACTATTTGTTCGTTAACTATTGGCTTTTGGGCCATCGATGATATGGGGAATGATTTATATAAATATTTTTTTCTTTAACTTCGTTGCATGAATATAGCGCTCGCAACGTAACAGCAATCAGCTAATCATAATAATTACATGTATCAGCATTGCCACCTAATGCGCAACAAAGTTGCATCCATGACATCACTAACTTGTCTTTCACTTGTCGACATAAGCGAGTTGAAAAAGTTGTTCGTGCAGTCCCGAGTTCTTCGCGATCGCAACGCTTACTGGAAGACCACCAACCTATGACCTCCACCGCTTCGCCGATTATAAATATCGCGTCTAAGAAGAAGGGATCGTGAACGCTAAACAACAATAGCGAGAGCGCGACGAAAAAAGAGCACAAATGCCAGATAAAGAAATGTAATCATATGCGCGCGCGCGGAAGCAAACGTAAATCTTGGCGCCTGCGCGTTTTCCGAGGCGTCCGGTTCTACGGATACGGTGGAAAGATACAAGCGAAATCACGGGAGCGGTCGTTTTCGTCGAATCCGCGACCAGGGAAAGCCAGTCGATCGCGACAGGTTTTTTTTAGATCGCACGTGATTTAAGGAGAGCGGAGGAGAAGAGGAGTCATGACAGGCACGACGGACCCGCTGGTGAGTATCGATTTTCGCGACGTCTATTTCGTCGAATTCGTAGTGTTCCGCGTTCGTGGTCGTGCTTCCACCTCTCGTGAGCCAGAAAATCCACTCCGAGGTTATTTTTACGAGCGTACGCGGCATGAGGAAACAACGACGGTTCAGCCTTCATGGAAGCGCGACGGATGTACGCATTCACGCGCACGCGCGCGCGCGTACGCATGGGCGCACGTGGTTCATGACGGGTCGTCGGATGCTTATCCGTCGGTGTGAACATCCTCGACATTTATCTTCTCGACTCGAGGTGTACGCAAAGCAACAACGATAACGCGAACTAAGCGGTTTCTGTGTCGCAAAAGACGCTCGAAAAACGCGCCCTCGTCACATGTCATTTCCCGCGAGATCGCACGAACGGAACGAAGAAATGTAGGGTCAACCTCGGTGATTCACTCGTGGCGCTTTGCCAAATGCAAATTCAATCATTTTCAGCAAATCGAACTCCGCATAAAGCGCCGCACGCGCTATTTACTCCCGAAGCGTTGTGTTCTCGATCAAAGGTTTGAAATCGCCCGGCTTGCGAATCAGGAAGTCCGAGTCCCGCTATCAGTTATCCACCCACACGTATTCGTCCAAACATGTCCGCGTTAATCGACGATGAAAGACGAGCTGTGTGTGTGTGTCGTCGATGAGTAGTGGTGATTCAGCGTATTCGGATATTCAAAGGAGGAGGGCATCGCCCTTTACCAAGCGTGTTGTGTAACGAGCGTTGCATGCTCCGGGTGCTCTCTCCACGTTACACAGGTACATTACATGTACATCGTTGTTGTACGTACGCGATGGACCGCCTGAAATAAACTCGAGGCGCGGAGAACGTCCCGCCGCGAGGCAAAAATGGCTGTTTCGCTCAGAGCCGCAAGTCAGAAGTGCGCGCGACGGTTTCGACGGCTCGTGAGACGCGCGAAACTTGTATTGGTGAGTACCCACGAAAACGCGCGCCGTCAGCAAAGCCAGGGTTTCACCGTTGCTCGCTTATCAAATCGCTCTCGCGTGCATCAAACCATCGCGATAAGTCCGCGTGTAGGCCGTCGGCTGACGAGCTTCGGCTGGGTTGCCTGACGAGCTCCGGAGCTAGGTTATGTGGCGAATAAGCACGCGACTCGCGAAGAACGGCCTACGCCTTGAAAAAAGTTGTGCGCATGCGCGCTCGATCGCGCGGCCTTATCGTGGCGCCACGCTCAATCGGCGAATGATGAATCCGATGGGAAATTGCGCGCACCGCAAGCGTTTCCTCGCATGCACGATCTCATTAATAATAGAAAAAAGAAAACAACTCTCCCCCCCCCCTCCCCCTCTCTTTCCCTGTGTTAGCCCAATTATATGTTCTTTATGCCGCGTTCTCTCGATGAGGGAGACCGGTAATATAATTGGTCCGCGTTCTCTGATACAGCTTGCATGAGTCAACGATTCTCGGGTTGTACCTAAACGAGAACGTTTTAAGAGAAACGTATGGTTTTCACTTCATTTTTTGTATTCCTCTCGCATTAATCCACGTTATCACTGTCACCTGTTGCTTCCCCGCTTCAGAAAAGATTTCTGCACTCTGTCACGTGCAAGAAGATTTATGCACAAACGCAGCGTCGCTAATTTGGTGATTCAACACCAAGTTCACCAGTAGAGCAAATTTTTATATATCGCATCGGCATGAGACTTAATGACTTTTGTTTATATAAAGTTAATACTTTACCTCAATCTACTTTGCCGACGAGTAGAATTTTAATTCCTAACTACCGCACGGAGAAAAATATTTTTTCTGGCGCAGCAAATTGTTACACTGAGAGAAAAAAATATTTAAAAACTTATTTGTGAAATATAAGATTTATTTCATAGAAATAAGATGTATTTATGTAAAAGAAATCTTATATCTCACAAATAAATTTTTAAGTATTTCCCTCTCAGTGTAGTTATTACACTGGTAGTAAAGAGATTTGTTAAACGAAAAAAAAGTATTTGCTGTTGTAACGAAACGTCGTTGCGACAGCGATAAAATTTAGCTGGCACAACAAAATTACATCGCTGTCTATATACGCCGCAAAATATTTTCCTATGTGCGTATAAAATTTCCAAAGGTAAGAAAATAGTCCGGAAAGGTGATATTCGATCGTTACTAAGCAGAAAGAAACTCACTCAGCTCTCGTCTTTCCCGAGAGGATCAATATTCTGTTTCTACCGCAGATCGGCACGCTGAAAGAAACGTCACCAAAGGGGGAGATCGTAACTCAAGCTTCGTCCGGCTCGGATAAGTATCGTGATAGCAAACGGACGCAATGGAGACAATGGCTGGCATGCATATCAGGTTTGTCCTTTGACTTGGCGAGATATCGCGTCATTTAGACAAGTGTACCAACGCGACGCTCGGCCAATCGAACCCTATTGATCCCCGATCGATCTTCATTTACAGCGACTCTATCGATGGTGGCGGTCGGTACCGTTTACGGATGGACCACCACGTCGCTCTCCCGGCTGGCATCCGGCGCCAGCGACGTGCCGATAAAGATAACCGACGACGAGGGTTCCTGGATCGTGTCACTGACGGTGATCGGCTCCATGATCGGCCCGTTCCTCGGCGCGAGTCTCGCCGACAGATACGGCCGTAAGAAATGCCTGCTGCTGGCCAGCGGCTTCTTCATGATCGGCTGGACCGTCATACTGTTCGCTCAAAGCGTGTCGGCGCTCTACGTCTCCAGGGTGATTCTCGGCGTCGGCGTGGGCATCTCGTACACGACCAACCCCATGTACGTGTCGGAGGTCGCCGACGTCGGGATCCGCGGCGCCCTCGGCACTTTGATCGCCGTCAACGTGTTCACTGGCTCGCTGCTGACTTGCAGCATCGGACCCTGGGTGTCTTATCGGGTCTTAGCCGCGATACTACTCGCGGTACCGATTCTCTTCGTGGCGTGCTTCTCTTGGTTCCCCGAGACGCCCGCTTTCCTCGCTGCTAGAGGTCGCAAAGCGGAAGCCACCAGATCCCTGGCCTTTTTCAAGGGTATCCGCGATCGGGACGAAGCTCGCAGAGAGCTGGAGGTTGCTCTCCGAGGGGTCTTCATCCAAGACGTCTGCGACAATATTCCCGTCACCGGGCCCGGTGCGAGAACCGAGCCGGTCAAGCGCAGCTGGCTCGGCAAGCTGAAGCTGATGTTGTTGCCCAGCAACGCTCGAGCGCTCGGCATCATACTGGGCCTGGTGGCGGCGCAGCAGCTTAGCGGAAATTTCAGCACTATGCAGTACCTCGAAGTGCTCTTCAAGAAGGCTGCTATCGGCATCGACTCCAACCTGGCTACGATACTAGTACTCGCGGTCGGCCTCGTTTCAGGAGGATTATCGACTGCGACTGTCGAGGGCGCGGGCAGACGCCCGCTGCTGATCGCCTCCACTCTGGCGTCCTCCATTACCCTCGCTGTCTTGGCGATATACCTCATGCTCGACAGCAGGGGCGTCGACGTATCCGCGGCGAATCTACTCCCGGTGGTCGACGTGATCGTCTTTCAGGTGGCCTTTCAACTTGGATTGGGCACGTTGCCGAATGCGCTCATCGGCGAGCTGTTCCCCACGGAAGTGAAAGCATTCGCCGGCGCTATCATCACCGTCTTCGACGGTGTGCTCGGTTTCGCCGTCTCCAAGCTGTATCAAGTCATCGGCAATCTGTTGGGCGCGCACGCCGTTTACTATTTCTTCGCGGCCTCGTGCTTATTGGCGTTCCTGATGGTGATATTCGTCGTGCCCGAGACCAAGGGTCGGACGTTCCGCGAGATCCAGGAGCTCTTGCAACGCGAGAGGAAGACGGACGACGAGAGGAATCAAACTGTCGCGATATGACAGAGGGAGAGGCGCCGCGCAGAACGCGGCGCGAACTCGCCGCCGCGTTATCGGCCGTTCTTTTCGAGACGACGGACGTTCTCGTTGGCGATTACTTATCTTCGTCTGTACATACATTGCGTTCGCGACGGGGGCGCGGCGGGCCGTAAAGACGCGCGCCCGCGATGTACGTACCGCGTGACCGTATCTGCCGCCGGGGAATTAAAAAAAAACATCATCGTAGAATCATTTTAGAAAGTGTAGATCCTGTAGATCCTGTGATTTCTCGATGATTTTATTTTTATTGCAATTCTTTTCTTTATGTACGAGTTATCGCGCGAATATTTCTAGGATGATAATTGCAAAATTCGCCACGTGTTCAATTGTTAAAACTTCGCTGCGAGAAACACACGTTATCTTTGATACGGTCTTCTTTTTCTTTTCGTACGTCTCACGCCAGTTGTTACGCAGATTGGATATTTAAGGGACGTCAGTTGTGAGGGTTTCTCTCATACGCGGAAGATAAAATATTTAAGTAAGAAAACTGGGAGAAATGGACGGAAATAGAAGACTCTAGCAGAGTATAATTTTTTTAGTAAACGCCGCATCTCTTCTTCTGAAACGTAAAAGTTGGGAGTGAAGAGAAAAATCGCAAGGTTATTCGGTAATAGAAAAAAAAAATAATACTGCCACATATACATTCTAGTATTACACCTGAAGAAGCGCCTTTTACAAGTATTCTATAATACATAGTCACTGATTCACACGTGTATGACATAAATAATAATATATATATAAAGGACGTCTGAAAATTCTAGGTCTAACATTCGTATACAAGTAAAACGGATCGAACTGGACAGAAAAGTCATATACCATTTTGCAAATTTTGCGGATAGTTATTAAGAAGATAATTAAATAATATGAGCGAATGAATTCACATGAAACAACAGATCGAACTCTGTTGGTGTGGATAGAGAAAGATGTCTTACTTTTTAGGATCTTTCAACACAACGGTGAGTATCAACTGATAGCGAGAGACTTCCTTCTTTTCGGCGCACAGCTGCATATCATACGCCACTCGCTGCATTATTCCGCTTCTCGCTATCAGCTAGTACCCATCATCGCTAGGGAATCCTAAGAAGTAAGGTAATTTTTCTTAGAAGGTAATTTTTTTAGAAGTTGAAAACCATTCCAAGTTACAAGTTGAAAAACTTTCTTTATACATGCCTTCAGAGTCCTACTCTTTCCTGTGAGTTCATTTGCTTATATAGTTTAATTAATTCCTTAAACTATTGCAAAATTTGTAAAATGGTACAGGACTTCGCTGTTCAGTTCGATTCGTTTCGTTTACACACGAGTTTTGTCTGGAATTTTCAGGTAGCCTGTAAATAAATATTTTTATTTTATATATTCAGCCTATCTCTCGAATAATTCAATCGCACCGAGTGTAATTTTTGCCACTCATTCAAAAGATTCGATTAGTGAAAGCGAGTTTAGATAACTGTATGTTTGCGCCATTATGATAAGAAGCCATATAAAATATGTTTTCCATATATGTATATAGATATACACACATATACATGTATATTTTTTGCAGAGCGCACATTCGTAAAGGTGGCGCAATCTTCGCGCGATGTTTTCTCGTGCAAGGTTTAGTTGAAGCCGTAAAAATTTCAATTTGTAGAACATCCTGTATACGAGGATTTCGCGCAACCAGATCTCTCGTACGATGGTAGCAGATAAAATATTTTAGCTCAGTGCTATTTTGATAGAAACAATGTTTCCGGTCAAACGCGCGCTCCAAAGAATAGATAGCTATCAACTTTTAAACGAATGTTTTCGGTGTAAATATGAATATTAAAGACACACGCATCGTGTATTTTAAAAGCTTTGTCACGCAAAGTGTGTATATATATATATAAAAAAAAAGAGATATTTTGGTGTGTCAGAATTTTGTTAAATACAAAAGTCATTCCTTTGAATTGAATATGTGCCTAATATCTTTTACGTGTCAAATCCCAATTGTGAGATTTCAATTTAAGATTCACACAGAAGATTAATAAAAGGTTGGAGCATGAAAGGCAATTACTTCGACACGTTGTGATAGGGGAAAAAAAAGAGTAAGTAAACGGAGAAAAGATCAATCAACGAACGACGAGATTCTTGAGAAGCGCCAGGAATCCTTATATTGAAACTGAAATATCTGAATTATTATTTCCCTTTTAATGCATCGGCGAATCTGTCCGAGCGCTGCATAGTTGACGATAAACATTCCTTTTAGTTTATCCCTTTATATCCCGTACAACTACCGCGTATTATTTTGAGACTGAACAGTACACCGCCCATTTATCCATTAAGTATAAAATTGAAAGTAAAAAGTACATGTTGCAAAGCAATTACTCGGGTCAAAGGAAAAAGAAAAAAAAAACCATTATATGTTTGAAATAACGAATTTATATACGATGAAATGACGGCAAAATGCTCGTTCGCGATAGAAAAGAATAGAGGATATTTTTCCGGGGCACGCAAGGAATTATTTCTAAATCCGAAGTAACGTCAAAGGATCGTAAATATAGAACGAACGAATATATGGAAACATTCGATGGAAATGGAAAACTTAGCGTTATACTTTCCGCATTGCGAACAGTCGAGGTATATGAAAGTAACGCACGAACGGTATATCGAAGTAACCCAATTGCCGCAGCCGGTGCTCTCACAGTAATGGTACGTAGCAAGTTTCATCTTATAAAATGGCCCATATCTACGTCGGTTCAAAGAGAATCCGCTCGAATGACGCATTATTAAACTTCAACTTCCGCGTATTGTACAACGCGAAAGTAACATCGATCGAGGGAAATGACGGCGAACTAATGAACTTCGATTTCAGGAATCGCCGGCTAAGAAGAAAAGTCAATTATCGGATTCAATAATCGGCTTCTGTGCGCACACCTTTAATTTTTGTCAAGGAGAATGTCGCACGGTACATCCACGCACTGCCGCGGAATTTTTCCGTGTGCTCCCTCTTTCGTTTTAGCGGAAAAGATTATAGCTTTCCGATTTCTCTTTCCGACCGCGCGCGCGACTTTTTTTATCGATTGATCCCGCGCGAAATACGCGCTCAGCGACGATGCATCGAAGGCCGCGGTCGCATTGTGCGGCACGCATATCAACGTGCACTTGTTTTGTTTCCGGGGGGAACAATGAGGGTAGTGAAAACTCACCTACCCGGAGCCGTTTGCCGACACTTTCCGCGATTTCGGGCGATTTACGCGCTCGATCGCGCGAGCCGCGGTGATAAAGGATTAAAGTGAATTAACGCCCCGGTCGGGCGTCGTTGAAACTTGCAAACGCCTCCGGCGGACGATCGCGCGGGATGCCCGATTTTCTCTCCCACCGCCCTTCCCCTTCTCCCGCTACCCCCTCACATGACCCTTTTTTTCCGACAGCGACTCGCTTTGTCCCAAGCCGTCGAAATGGCGAGAGCTCGGCGAGCCGGGTGGTAGTTTTATTCCACCGGCATCGAGCAGCGAGAGCCACCCGATGCAACGGTAGAGAGCGATCGCCAGACAAGGAGAACGCGGCGACACGAGCTGCTGCGAACGAGCTTGTAAAGCGGGATCGGGATTTTCTCCGCGTGCGCGCGCGTGGCCAGATGTAACCCGCAGCGCGACAGTCCACGTTGTTTTCCAAATTTATACCCACGGATTTTTTCCATAAACAATGCCGTGCGAGCGCGCACGCGGTTACAGTCCGCTGTTGTATGAAATATGTATGATATTACAGCGGAGGGGAAGCAAATAAATGCGCGCAAAGGAGTGATTGATGGAGGAATTAGGTAGGAACGTGGAAATAACATTTGCGAATGTTCCAATTTTATAGATATCGGGATTAAGCTTTACACCAGCGCGTCTGTAACTTCCTCAGTAAAAATTTCATGCATTTTTTCTAACAATCTTTTCTAGTTGTTGGACTGCTCACTAACTTTTAGTAACTGAGGAGTAAAACTACGTGGCAATCCAATCAAGACATAATACGTTTTTCCTGCGCGGAAGAAAAGAATTAGCTGTCCATGTGATACAACTGAAATTTAGTTACCAGGCCTAATTTTTAGCTGTAAATGAAGCTAAAAACTAGATAGAGGAATAAAAAAAAAATAATTAAATTAACTAAATTTCAATTATTATTTAGACAGCTAATTCGTCAGTTTACTAACGTCAGTTTACTTCGAGATTAGAAATTACGGGCTAACCTTTTTATTACTTTTAGTATTCATTACGGGACTTGGATATTGCTGAAACGTCTTCTTTAACGATTGCTCTCAGACTGCTCTCTTCTCGTTTATTTCATAGAACGATCCAGAAATTTTAGAGGCGGGTTATTGCGATACCATATGACGCGTATACTGCGCGAAACGCGCATAAAAGTAAATTGCGTATATTCCCCGTCCTAGGCAACTAATGCGATTGTCGAGTATCTCCACGTAATTTGATTTGTCCGCCATTCGGAGGTATCGATGTGTCATCGAACGAAAATAACTACCGGAGAACTTCGTTGCGCACTCTTTACCCTAAAGGGCTAAGGTCAGACCCAAACAGATAGAGATTCATCGTACGTTAACCTTCCTCTTGGTACGCAAGCTACCAGAGCCGAACAAGAAGAAAGCTCGCGGATGCGTGAGAGCTCTTTTTCTGAACCATATCACAGGAACGTAGCTTCTCACGACATTCGCTACTCTTTCCTCTTCCTCGTTATTTTTCCCTTCGCTGAGCAACGACATAAATCTCTCTTCAACCGTATCCATTTCTCTCGCACCCCTTCTTCCTTTCTAGTATTCAATAAGTTCGCCAAGCTCGTTAACAGACATTGCATTACGGACTCGCGACATTAACTTGATACACACAAATTATATTGTATTACTGCAAGAAAGGGAGAAAAGCTCGGAAAGAGACATGCGAAAAGAAGTTCTAGGAAGATATTAATAGTGAAAAGAAATTTTGAGGAGATATAATAAATATTAAACCGTATTTAATATATACCGTAAAAGCCGCGCTGGGAATAAATCACCACGGATATTGACGGAACATACAAAAATGCGGTATATATATATATATACCGTATTTAATATATACGTGTATATATATATATATATATTAAATACGGTTTAATATTTGTTATATCTCTTCATAATTTTTTTTTGCTATTAATAAAATACAATTAATACTTGTGTCTAGTTAAGCTGCGTCGCAATATATTTCCAAGATATTGGGATATTTCAGATTTTTTAAGCAGAAACAAATTTTAGAAATAAAATATTTACATTACATTTAATAAAACGTTTACATTACATTTCATTTTAAATTACGGATTTATACTATTATATTTATTATTTCCGTTGAATACAGACTTGTTAGTCATAGTTCTTCATTTTATGAATACTGTGTCGTCGGAATCATTGTTATTTTCTATTTTCATTAAATCTTTTGTTTTGTCTTGAAAAAAACTACTTATTGAACTTAGTTGGAAGTTATTAAAACTTAGTTATTGAACTAGTTATTGAATTATATGACTTCGTATAATCGATTTTCTTAAAGGGCCGCGTAAGAACAAAGTGAGATAAGTGAATTCTTTTTCTTAAAAGTGAAAAGAGATAAGAAAAATGAGGCGCTCTCATACCTGCGGAGCAGAAACAGTCACATAGATTAGCAACGGAATATGAATTGTCAGCGATGTCACAAGCAACCGTTGTAGTTGCATTAATCTTTCACGACTCCCTCGTGAATGGATTACGATATCAGCCGGCTTGTCGGCCACCAAACTTACAGTTTCGTTTCGTTTGCCTCTGAGGCTATCTAAAACCATATAGAGTCCTTTTTCGTTCTCTCTTTCTTCTTAATGTCTTTTATCAGCCACTCGTGCACATGCTTCAATATGCCTATTTTGTTTTCGCTTGTGCGAAAGACCCGCTTTGTGTACATATCAACTGATTTTATCAGCGAATGTCTATTCGACCCTTAGGACACATGCGGGAGAACGAAAACCGATACACATCGATAACAGGATATATCGCTGCGAACGAGTAGCGCTTCGTCGACCAAACAACAATGTCCTGCCGTCTGTCTCGCCTGTTTCTACTAGCCGACCGTAATTTCCGGTATATTTCTCCCGCTGTTCGCCTGTCTTCACTCTCGACAATGCCGCAATATGTATATTTTTACTGTCACTAACGGCAAAACGTGACTGAGACTCTGCGCAAACAGTATTCGCGATATGAAGTCGTCTAAGGTGACAGGCGGTTCATTAATCTTCTTTTAAATTGGATTATCACTTTGTTCCTGACCGACGTGACTTTTCTCTCGAAGACTCGGAGCCAAAGAAAACGCAATGTTCACGTGGCACTCGGTGAAACTATTTTCCGCCGGGTCGATTAACGAGAAACGTCATCGTGCGTCGCGATTCGCTCATTCAAAGCCCAAGGCGTTTTAGTTCATCCGTTTCGATTTCCTATTACTTCCTCGTTAGCCTCAGTCGCTACTGATTTTTATAACGGTCTGCCGTTATACGCGCTGCAATATCGATACAACTTCATATCGGAACAATATCACCTTTTATCCCGTCTACCTCGATCGGAGACACGCTCGTTTTTCGATACGCGAGGCAATCCGAGCGGCGTCTTTACGAGATGATTCGGAATGTATCGGCACAATATCGTCAGAAATCAAGGGTAACGTATGACGGAAACGCGGATAAAAAGTAATAGTCTAATAGAATAACAGAACAGAAGAGACGGTAAAATAACATTAACAATATTAATCATAGAATGGTCACATAGATAACAGGTGTCATCTATGCACACTAAAAAATGCATTTTCCGAAAAACACAAACAAGCATCCATCTTACGCGTCTGTGTATTTGTCAGTTAGGGATTGCTCTCATCCGTTTTAACCTTCTAACCACAAGGTTGGGGTCAG